CTCTTTTGCAACCTATAAATTAATTTATCCAAATGAAAATTTTCTATAATACTACAATTTATTAAACAAGTTAATTAATTTGTGCTTTAAACAGACAAATCAATTATATAAATACCTGATTATCGAGGGAGAAATAATGGAAACGATCACCCCAAAGACTTGGAGAGAAGTCAGCAACAGGGCGAACAATCTCCTCCTCTCCTGCAGCAGCTAGGGCCATTTCTTCTACAGTTAGCTTGTGAAAAAGAAGTGTTAATTTTGTTGGTTTTGTGCTTAGAGAAATTGAACAAGTGATGATGGAAATGGAAGTGAAGGAAATGAGTATTTATAATGTATGGTGAGAGTCTTTTGTCACAGCCATCAATATAATCTTTCACGTTTAAATACTTATTGACGTCTGGTTGCCGCACTTGATTATTGTACTGGTTAGTGTATAAAAGTTTAATCAATTCCATTTTTAATCTTTTTTGGCGTCTGTCTGTAAGTCTAAGGGTTTCTAGTGTCAATTCAGAAAACGACTTACGACATAAAATATTATACTAAACTAGTATGAGACATTGCATTATATTGTCTTTTAGTCTTTTTTGTCACAATTGCACCATGTATTTGGAATGTTGATTTGAGGTCTATTTCGATGGCACCCAAAATATGATAATATTGGATTTCCTTGAGTGCAGAATGTAGCAACTTTGAATTGAAAATCATGTCCCAAAAGAAAAATAAAGGACGATATGCAATATTTAATTTAATTTATTGAATTGAACACATATTATTTGTAAAGTTCATAGATTGATGGCTTAAACATAAATTATTTTTGTGCACTTGTTTTTCCGGTTCAAAGTTGAGTTTCTATGCCATCCTATTTTATTAAGTTAATGTTGAATTTATACAAATTGAAAATAGACTAAATGCAATTTTTTATGCACACTTTTTTTTTCATAATGTGCTTTTATTTTCTCGATTTGGACAGATTGAGAATTGACAAAAAAAAAATTGAAGGATAGAGAATTTCTCAAATGTATATAGTTTTGTATATCGGCATATTCTTAGAACAAAAAATAAATCAAAATTTCTCCGTTCTTTATTATTTATCATTTATAAGTATCAAAAGTACATAATTAATTCAAGATCCAATTCAAAAAAAAAGTAATAGTTTCTAAAACAAAAAATTCAAGATCCAATTCAAAAATTTGGATGTTGCTTCATGCTTTAAACGACGAAGATGAAGAATTAGTGATGCAGAGTTTCATAGTAGACATGAAAAACAACAAATCAGTATAATTATGAAGCGGTTTGAACATAAGAGATTCAAGTTATCTCCAAAATAATTATAAATATCTATATCTTTATTTTTATTGGTATTAAACGAATCAAAAATAGTTTATCCAAAGGGACATAACAAGAAATTATAATTTATCCAAAACTATTCTGATACCCCTTACTTGTACTTTTCTCCCTTAGTACCTTTCCTTTGAGGTCCTTTAATTTTTTTCTTTACTAATAAAAATTAGCCTTATGCATACCTTATCTATTGAAATTGTTTTTTTTAAAAGGTAATAATGACTAAAAAGAAGTGAATTTTTCGACTAATACCATGTACTTAGATTGATCTCTTACCATAATAGAAAAGAACGTGAATAAAAACAATAAGTTCACAGAAAAAAAAAGCTATTTGATGATATGAAAAATGGCGATCGAGAAAATGAAAAGAAAAGAGTTGGAGAGAAAAAGGAAGATATAAATATGCGTGAAATATTATAATGACCGAATATTTGTTCTTAAATTGACGGACAATAAACAAAAAGTATCATTGGAACAAAATTGGGATACAAATGAGAAGAGAAATACTTCAATTGGATTGCTAAAAAGAGATTTGACACATATCATTCAACAGTAATGATAGATAATTGAAGACATTAACCTGAAATAAAACCACTTTAAAACTAGAAATATCCCCAATTATGACATTTTTTTTAAAATGTGATGTAACTGAGAATCTGTAACAAAAAAATTTGTCAGTATTAATTTATTTCATTCTTTTAGGAATTTAAATCATGTTTGTGTTACAATTAAATAAAAAGTCTATATTGGATATAGAATCAATTTTTTATGAGACTAAAATGTTTTCCACAAATCTTACATTGATGTCATTAAGATAAATGAACGTTAAAAATAAAGAATCTCCAAATAGAAAAATGTGTTAAGTCTTTTTCAAAAAATAAAAAATAAAAAGTATTTTATAAACTAAAATAAATTAAGCTTTAATTTATATAATAATATTTGTATTTTTTAATTCAAATCTAATTTATAATGATAATGTTTGAACCATCTTGTACGTATCACTATCATTCATAAAGACTTACATAATGTTTTAAGAAATATTCAAGGTTAATGTAATATTCTTTTCATCAAATTCACCCTTAACAATCTCAAAAAAAATGTCAAAACCTATTTTTTACATTGTGAATAGTACAAATCGATTATGGTTTTGGCTTGATAAAGTTTTTCAATTTTTCATCATCTAACGTTTTTAATTTTTTATCACTAAGTGAAATGTCAACAATTTTATACATTAAATAGTGCAATTCTATTTTAGAGTAAAAAAGATAACGTGATCCACTTGAGAGTTGAGACATTCAATTTTTGGAGTTTAAAGCAATTATTTTAGTTAGTATTTTTGGAGTTTCACATTATTTTCAGAACGGTTTGTAAATACTTTTGGTTCATCATTTATATATCAATAAATTTTGATTTTGATTTTGATTTTTGTGATATATGTGCTACATAGGTCGATTTGGTTCGATTTTGAAGTTTATCGGTTCAACTAATCGGTTATTGATTTGTAGATATGCTAAATCGTTAAGAACCATTAATATATCGGTTTATCGGTTATTGATCGTTATCGGTTTGGTTATTGGTTTAACCGTTATGATATGACACGAAAATAAATTATTGAAAATCTCTTAGAAACATGGTGACAAACCAAATAAACTATGCACATGAGTTGATAAATTGTATCTTGCTAAAAAACAACACTAACACATTGTAGAATAACTGAAAGTTTGAGACGGCCAGAATTGAAAATATAAACTAAATCCAAAGTCAAAGGACTTTATATACCAAAATGGTATTAATATAATTTATTAATTTATTATCTAGTTATCAGTTAACCCATTAAGAAAAAACTTCAATTTCGTTAAGAATCAATAACCCGATGATAAAAAAATCAAAAATCAATACCAAAATCGTTAAACAAATAACCTATTACCAATTAATAACTTTTTTTCGATTTGAGTTATCGATTTCAATTTCGTTTTGAACAACCCTACCTAACATATTTAATTTTAGTCTACTTTTGTTTCTTTGCATAAAATATATTATATTCAGATTATTTTTAGAGTTATATTTACCATCAATTATGAAGAAATACTATAAACTTAACACAACACAACAAATCAAAAATAATTAGATAATGGAACAGTTAATAATCATAGAAAATTGGTAAATATTTACGAGCAAAAGAATTAAAATATGCATATTTTAATTAGCTAAAGATTAAATGTGTTTAGTTAGATATCATAAAAATTAGCATTAAATTTATGAATAACAAAAGGACTAAGGGTGTGTTTGGTATGAAGGAAAACAGTTTCCGGAAAATGTTTTCCAATTTTCTCATGTTTGGTTGGGTAAAATGTTTTCCAAATTAACTTATTTTCCTCAAATTCAAGGAAAATGTTCAAAACTTAAGGAAAACATTTTCCAAAACTTTCCTCTAACACCATATTACAATTTTTTTTTTTGAGAAAATCAATTTTTTTTGTTGAACAAATAAATTTAAAGTTTATTTTAAACAATATATTTTTCAACCTCAATTTTTTTATTTTTTTACCCACCCTCACCCCGACCCCCCCCCCAAAAAAAATAAATTTAATGTTTGTTTTTAAAAAAATATTTTCAATTTCAAAATTTTATTTTCACCCCACCCCTACCCTCGACTCCCACCCCCAAAAAAATAATAATAAATTTAAAATTTATTTTATAAAATTTACTTTCAATTTCAAATTTTGTTTTTCAATCCCACCCCATCCCCTAACCCCCCCCCCCCCAACCAGCCCCACTACCAGCCCCTCCCAAAAAAAAATTAAGTTTGTTTTTAAAAAATATTTTCAATTTCATTTTTTTTATCTTTTCACCCTCACCCCACCCCACCCCTACCTCGACCCTCCCCCTCCGGCCAGCCCTGCTACCACCAACCCTCCCCCCAAAAAAATAAAGTTTGTTTTTAAAAATGTTTTCAATTTCAATTTTTTATTTTTTCACCCTCATACCCCCTACCCTCCCCCGACCCCCCACTACCAGTGACCCCCCCCCCCCCAAAAAAAAATAAATTAAAGTTTGTTTTTAAAAAATATTTTCAATTTTCAATTTTTATTTTTTCACCACCCTATCCCCCCCCCCCGCGCCAGCCCCACCACCACCCCCACCCAAAAAAAATTAAGTTTATTTTTTAAAAATATTTTCAATTCAAAAATCATTTTCTACTCTCTAGTAAAAAAGAGATATTTTCTCAAAAATAATTTTCATTCATAAATCAAACACTAAAAAATATTTTCTACTCACCAACCAAACATGAAAAAATAAATCAAAATTCTACTAATTTTCCAGAAAAATATTTTCCTTCGTACCAAACACACCCTAAAAGTACTATTAACCTCATGAGTAGTATGTTATTAGAATTTAGTACTAGTGTCACTTGCTTTGATAAAGCTTAGGTTTTTTTCACTCTTTCTCCTTATTGTTAGATGATCAATATGGTAGTTTCTTTGCTTAAAATCTTACAATTTATTTTAGCAAATAAAAAGAAGATCGAGCTAGGTACAAAAGAAGTATTATTAAGATATCAAAAATTAATGGTACAAAAACGTTTTAATTAAGTACAGTAGTATTACAGGAAACTTATATAGATGGAACTAAAAAAATAAAATAAAAAAATCAATGGTTTAGATCTCAATGGAGTCCACCAGTAAAGCAATGATGTGAGGTTTTAGAACTTTTTCGGGATGAGTGTATCCATCTTGATTGTGCTTGTAAGTGACATCTATAATACGAGCAAGATTGAGAATGCGAATAAGAATTTCTGTAGAGACAGGTGTTGGTCGAAGAATTCCTTCATTTACATCCTTCCATGCTATCTCAGCCATCTCTTGGAATTTTTCCATTGCTACTTCTGTTGATACGTCATAATCCCTCATATAACACTCAATTCCTGTTGCGATTTGGCCCCTACCCTTCTCAACCTGGAATTAATGGCAATTATAATTCATTTATAAGTATTTGTATTAAATTACTGTAACTCGTAATTATAAGATGATGATTTATGTAGTGTAATGCGATGTTAATTACCTCATACGTTGCTATGTCATCAACAACTCGGCATAATGTCACATTGGCTTCAAGAATTTTAGGGTTCGTAGCCAACCATTCGAAATCTTCCTTTGTTGCTGACTTCACTCCCAAATAGGATGTTGTAGTTAGCAAATAATATGTGCTGGTAGCTAATGCATTGCTAAGATACTCAGAAACTGGCGGCATATATCCCTCAATGAACCACTTTGCTTCTACAAAATAGTTTCTCACAATCTCCTTCATCTGTTTAACAGAAACCACAAGAGACATTCAACCATCAATATATACGATCTAATTGTATAATAAAGAAATAGTATAAGGTAATTAAATACAAGTGTCGTTTTTAAATAGAAATCAGTGAGTCCTACGTACTCTTTCTTTTGCGTAGTGGACAACATCGGATCTGCCATCCTTTGACAACTCCTTTTCATAATCTTCATAGAGATCCAAAAGAGCCTTAAAACTGACTTTCATGTATTCTGGGAGTCGATCAATTTGACTAATATCCCACCTAATAAAACAGAAAGAGATTTAATTAGTAAGTTTCCCTTCTAAGAAATAATCAACCGTCTAATAAATCCATGGCAAGTCCATACCTTTGTATGGCATCGGTGTAGATCTCAAGTTCTTTTACTATTCCATAAGCATCGAATGTGTCATCTACTATCGAAATCATTGCTATAGTTTTAGCAAGCATGACACGAGCCTGAGAGTATTGAGGTTCAGCATACACTCCCATCGTCCAAAAGTAACATTCCACTGCTCTATCCCTAGCATATGGAAGCGTTGTCACAAAATCCAAATCTTTCCACCACCTACAAAATAAGTACCAATCTTAGAAATTACTATCAACAAATAATTTATACTAGTATTTTTAATTCAACTTAACACATCTGTATACCTTGATACTTCACTAAGTTCGTGTTTGTGCAACATCTGGAGTAAGTTGTAATCCAATTTGGCAAATCGAAGCAACACATCATTCTTAAATTCCTCCTCTTCGTAGATGGAGATGAAGTAGCGCGTCTCGACTCTTGGAATGCTCTTATGGAGAGACTGCTCAAGGGCATGAGTCACTTGCTTACTCAGAGGTGACTCCAAATTTGGAGCTGCAGACTCGAGATGAGCAGCGGAGAAAACAAGTGCCTCTTCTAAAATAACTTCTCCATGAGTCCTTACATGTGAAGCTTCGTATAAGTTCAAAAGACCCCTGATGTCGTTGCTTAAAGATTCCTTGAACTTGCCATTCGCATCTTGGAATCTGCTGAAAAATTCTGGATCATGATCGAATAAAAGCAATAGATAATTAGTTTTCTTGCAGAAAAAAAAAACGTATTATTTTGGTGAATTGCTTTAAATGATGGACCTACTTTGGGAGATATTGTAACCATGTTGTCTTAATATTCGAAATTGAAGGGATAAAGTGTTTAAATCATGAGCCTCAAAGTTAGGATCTGCTTTGTAAATTTGATCCAACATGTCTTCTATTTGTTTCTCAAAATGATAAGCTAAGCCAAGGCGCTCAACAATGTCTATCAGATTCAATTTCTCAGCAAATGTTGTTCCACAAGCAGCAGATAACAAACTCCTTGTTTGTTCCTTCAAAGTTTCAATCTCTTGAGCATACTTTTCAGCAACCTGTAAAATGTTCATGATTGGGATTCAGTATATACTAATCAACCAAATATAAGAGATGGAGAAGGATTTTATAATCAAAACTAATTACCTGATTGTCGAGAGAGAATGAATGGAAACGATCACCCCAAAGACTTGGAGAGAAATTGGCAACAGGGCGAACGATCTCGTCTTCGTTGTTAAGGGGGATAGCTAGGGCCATTTCTATCTAATTAGCTTGTGAGAAAACAGAAAGCCCCTATTTTTTTTCTTTCTTTTGTAATTAGTTGGTGATAGGGAATTGAAGTGTTGATGGAAATGAAAGAGAAGGAATATTGAGTATTTATAGTGGTGAGAGCCTTGATAATTTAATTATTCACTCTCTTTTGAAATTCGTTGTGCTGCATGCAGTCCATCCGGTTGCCTTACTTTGACTACTTATACTTAACTGGTCGTCCCACAGTAGATATACAAATAGTATACTCTTTCTAGTCTTTATCAAAAATAATGATACATTTTTATATTGTACTCCTTCCTCCGCCATATATAAGAAGAAATTATAAATAATAAGATAATTTTACTATTTACTTTGTAAAAAAAAAAATTAAAAATTTTACAAATAAATATGAACACTTTAAAAAATAATTAGTTGCAAGGATAATATAGGAAAACTTTAATTAATGTTTTCTTAATTTAGTAAGGTGATCAACTAATATGGACATGGAGGGAGTAGTAGTAATTTAGCTTTAAAATATTCATTTATATTTAATGAAATAATTTATAGTCATGCAAATATTTATGACTTGTTTTAGATTACAACTTTAAAGGCTCGGTTGGTTTGGAAGGTGGTTATCTACACAGATGACCTGGGATCCATCCCCACTCAATGCCTTCTGAGTCAAGCATGCCGCATAGGGCTTGCCTAGTGCGGTTTACATTCCCTGTGTGGTTTGCAGGTTATTACACAGTGGGGGATTTATCCAGTGCGCACAAAGTGCTCACCACAGAGTGCTCGCCCGAAAGGTAGAGGCTGTGGCAGATGTTGTAGCAGCTACGGGTTATCCTGAGGTTCCAAAAAGGAAAAAACTTTTTTTAAAAAATCATCTTTATTAAATTTCATCTTGAATCAAATAAAATCTCATAAATTGAGATTGATGAAGTAGTAAGTGCAACCAAATTTGTACTAACTTTCTACCTCCCTCCAACCACATGTTATAAATCAATTTCTTTGATGGTACTTCCTCAATTCAACTATAGTTATTCATTATTGATTTGCATAAATTTTAAGAAACAATAAATAATAGGAGTAATATTATTATATTACATTTTGAATATATTAAATTTAATGTTTTGAAAAATGTATTAGATATTGAACATTAGTATTTAACATTAAGGGTAAAACAGACACAAAAGAATAAATTATCTTTTTGATTTTTTAAATTAAACAATTATTTTTAACATAGTGAATAATTAAAAGACGGCGGATATTAAAAAGGCTATAACTTCAATGCAACCAAACTTAAATTTTTATTATATGATATTGTAACGTGCCTTTAATTTCTTTCTTTACTCCTTGTGATTCCTTATTTCCTCAAGTGGCGTCTGTCTTTTAAAAATTAATAATACTCAATAATCTTCATGTTTTTTTATTCCTTATAGTTCCATTTTTGGAAAATTACATTATGGCCGTTGGTGACGTCCGCCTTCTTACCTTGGGCGGCCGTCTCTCTCTTTTTGTTTTATATTTTTATATTAATGCGATATATGACCTCGAAGGGACCAAGATAGTGTCTCTCCTTCAATGGCGTCTGTCTTGATCCAATGCTATTGTTTCCGATTTCAACTTGAAAAAATATAGCATTACATAAAATCGTAGTATGTAATTATAGCATGAGTTCATTATTATAATTTTTTTCTCCCCCACGAGATCGGATGGGCATAATAAGGGCGGACCTAGAGGTAGTCGAGAGGGGGTTCAAAAAAATTTTAAAAAATATATTTATTTATTGATTTTGAACCTTCTAAATGTATGATTAGAGATTGACTTAGTGGGTGAGATTTAAAATTCATTGAATTTCAAGTTCGAATCTTAGATACTATATTTTTTTCCTAAATCACCTTAATGAAAATTCTGAAATCGCCGCCAGTGCCACATAGTCATTCTAATAAAGTAACTTATTGAATTATGTATATTTCCAAAATTCAAGATTGATGGCTTTTCTGAATGATAGAAGAAACATAAAATAATTGCACGCTTATTTTTCCTGTTCAAAGTTGAATCATCTATGCCATCGTACTTTACTAACTTAATGTTGATTTTATGTAAATCGAGATGTAATTAATTCAATGGAAGAGATGATATGCAAAATTTTACGCACAATTTTCTCCAAACATTCTTCCCCATGTGATTATTAAAACTTCTTACTGATGATGAGAAATTTAAAATTAATTGTTTTTAAATATCTAAATGTAACATTGTTTTTTAAACTGCCTAATAAGAACATAGTTCCAAACAAATTGAATCTTTTGAGTATTTAGTATTTATTAAAAATCTAGAGGAGTCAAATTAGTTCTTTTTAGAACGTAATATTGTAGTTTCCCTAAAGTTGACTACTTTGGACCTAAAAATCAAACGGCAAGTAAAATCCATAATACTATTTAAAGTCCAAATTCTTTGGTTAGAATTTTAATCTTTCATTGGTAAGACTGATCTTAGAAATAAAATTCTAATACTGTTGGAATTAAGACTTAATATATTAGACAATTGAGCCAAAATTGACATTACAATTTACACACACAAATACATGTATATCCATCCACTGACCAATAATTAATGTTTAATCAAATATTTAGTCAAGTAAGGCACCCACAAGAGATGGTCGGAATAATCCTAATTCCTAAATAAAGGTATATTTTACAAGAATTTGAAGAATTTTTTTTTGACTATTTTCATAGTCATATATAGAGGTTACCCAAACTCTATGTTGTTGAGGAAGGTTCTTATCACCTTCTTGGCTTTAGAATTATATTTTTAATACTCTCCAGTATACTCTTTCAAGTGACTCTTCTAGCACCATGCTATTATGTGAGTCAAAATAGCATTACACATTATTGTTGTTGGTTTAGGTTGAAAAAAATCAAAGTAGAGGCCAAATTACAACATGAATAGAGTTCTATATAAAAGACTAAAGTACATCAACAGAAGACTAATAAAAAGAATTCAAAAAATAATTGAATAAGCGTGGGAAAATGTGAATGAAAGTTATCATGTTAAATTATCTCTCTACAAAGATTCTTAATTGCATTCTCAAATTAGGTCAAATTAAAAAGCATATTTACGTATTATATCTTTAACTAAATATTGGGTCGAACTCACATCAAGCTTTGTAGGTGATCGAGCACTAGGGGCGGAACTACAGCCATCCAAGGATGGGCAGTTGAACACCCTTCGCCGGAAAATTACATCATATAAGAGAGGTCAAATTCTGAATTTAAGAGATAAATAATTAATGTTGAACAACCTTGACATAAACTCTTCCTGGGGCAGTGGTTAAGCGTGTTTATTTCCATCTCAGCTGCGCGGATTCGAATCCCAGTGCGCACAACATTTTTGTTTTTATTTTGAGAGCAGAACACAACCTCATACACTATTATTATGTTCCTCAAGTTTCTTAATTATTAATATTACAATTTTAATAATATAGAGTAACATATATGAATACATTATTTTAATTTTAAATATTTAAATATCATGTATTTTTAATTTTTATCTAGGATATAATGCACTTTCGAATGGTGAAAACAAAAAAACCAACATTTTACTTTAAAAATTTGTGTTTATGGATGTTAAATACTTTAAATCCAAAACTAAAATCAATACATGCGTTTTATCTTCTTCTTTTTTTAAGAAAAAAAAAATTATAGGTGTGATTTATCTTTCGTAAAGCTAGACGCATTTGTTCTATCAATATTTCACTTTAAAAACAATAATCATATATTTTTATCATATTAATTCAATGCATCAAAAAGAAGAAAAAAAACTTGATTGTGTATATTTGATATTGACAAATGTTGAGATCGTTCATGGTAGAATCCTTAGGTTAAAAAAATAACATTCAACTCACTTATTAAAAAATATTCTTGAACACCCTTGATGAAATTTCTGACTCCGCCACTGACACCCATTAATTATCTTGACGTGAAATGTATATAGATATTTAAAAAAAATATCACGAAAACTATATAATTAATTAATAATCACACAATAAATAACTGTTAATAAGCACACAATAAATATTACGAAAACTATATAATTAATTATCTTGTTAATTTTCATTGAAGTGAGCTGAGGGAGGAGAGCGCGGGTGAGTATAGTGCGCTATTACAAAGTGAAAATGATATTTTTGGTAAAAAATAAGTGGAAATATTATTTTTTAATTTTTTATTTTGATAAAATATCTCCATATTTTTTAATTTTTTTAAAAATATAATTTTAACAACCAAATGAAAGGGACATAAAGCCTAACCTCTTTTTACATCTTAGAATAAGAAAGATTTTGATTCAAAGATCTTTACAAGACAAAACAACTATACTAATGCATTTAAACTACAATGGGGAAAAACTAATTTTGACGCTACTATATATATAGAGAGAGCCCGGCAAATATCAATAAAAATTAGTGGATGTTAATGTGACCCATATTTAATATAATTTTGTGGAGATTATAGGAACTCCCACAATTAAACCTCTACAAATTCACCTTTTTTTTAGTGGTGTTAGTAAGTGGTGTTGAAGCTTCATTACCACAAGGTCGTGGGATTGATCCTCCACATTTCTAAACTTGTATTGTGTTATTCTTCCCTAAATTCTAGGTTTCTATGCGCAACAACTTACAAGTTTAGAATTAGCAATTGTTGAGATTATACTTTAATTTTTTGAACTACATGTTTCATCTTCTCTTTATGAAATCACAATTTTTTTCATCCAAACTACAAAGCAAGTAAGTTTTATATAATTATAAAGTAGTTTAATTCGCTATGTAAAGTGTAAAATAAGATATTTGCAAGTGTAAGCGATATTATTCTTACTCATTTTAATTTCAAAATACAAAGTCGTTGAGCACATTATAATTTGTGATTTGAAGTTTTCCTTTTTTATAGTAATATTGAACATAGCTTTTTCATTAATTTTTTTCACAATTGTATTTAAATAGTTTTTACATT